CTGTCTCTTATACACATAGAACCAGAGCTTTCGGACAACACTAGTCCTTCCTCAGTGGCGAGTGGGTGAGGGTAGAAAAAGCTAGATGGTATAAAGTGAGAATTTCATGCAAGCATGATTGGAAACAATAGGCTGGGTGAGATAGAATAAAAAGCCTAAACAAGTAAACAGGAAGGCCAACACTAAACTTTAGAAGCAAGCCTCAATAAATAAGCCAAATGATTTATCCAGAATAAATTGAAATGCCATTGGTTTAATTTAGTGTACTGGGAGTACGTTCCTAATACAGTATTGAGTCCAAATGGTGTGGTTGTTTTAAGTAAAAGTTCCCAGTGATTCTCTTTATCTTTGCGATTTTTGTCGCTCCAACTGGCATTATGGTCAATTGCAATCACTCTGAAATTTGAAAATTGAAATTTCAAATATATATATTTATATTATATATATATTATATATATATATTATATATATTATTTATGTATATGTATGTATATACTGTATGTATATTATGTATATGTATATGTATTTATATATGTATATATATATATATATTTGAAATACCTGGTCTGGGACGTTTTTTTTTTTAAATGGTCCCCAAATTCACACCCTACGCCGGATCATCACAAAAATTCAGTAATTTCTTTACTTGACATTTACAAACTATTAAAGAAAATTTTATTTACACCGATTGAAAACTTTTTATAGATATTTACGTCTGGGATCTCCAAAATTTAAATAACATTCCTATTTACACCCTTTACTGATTCGTCGCTAACACATACTATAATGCTATCTTATTTGTAACTTGGTTAAACTTTTTTTCCGAATGTTTCATTCATATCAGTTGATCCGTTTTCGAAATATGTGGTGGAACGTTTTCCTTTCAATGGTCCTCAGATCTACACCCTACTCCGGATCGTCACAACAATTTAATCATTTCTTTACTCGACATTGACGACCTGTTATACAATGTTTAAATTCTACCCATTGATTTTTTATTTAAAGAGATGTTTATGTCTGGATCCTCAAAAATTGAAAAGACCCTCAAATGTACACCCTTCAATTGATCGTCACTAACACATAACAACTTCTTCCTTGTAACTTGATTAAACTTTCCCGCAAGTTTCAGTGTAAGCTGTTTGATCTAAAACATTTTAATTGGGCCTCACACGCACACCCCACCATAGATTGACACTAAATATTAGGAGGCACATCCTTAATTACGGCCTATGCTTCGGCAAAGCACGGAAAAATTCTAAGCATGGTAAGTTACCAAAGTGACGGCCAGAAAAAAAAAAAAAAAAAAAAAAAAAAAAAAATAATAATAATAATAATAATAATAATAATAATAATAATAATAATAATGAAAATAATAATAATAATATTATTATTAACAATATTATTAGTATTAGCAACAATATTATTAATTATAATGATGGAATAAATGATAGGCCTAATATTAATAAAATAATAATAATAATAATAATAATAATAAATATTATTGTTATTAATATTATTTTTTTATTATTATGGTAGGCCTTACAATAACTTTAATAATATGCCGAAGAATAACAATGACAGTAACGATAACCTAATTTCCAATAGAGCAGGTCTACAACAGTAATTGAAAATTGACATTCATTTTCATACCTGCACACTCCGTCCCTCCGTTAACACCATGGGCCTGTCCAGAGGAGATGAATGCGAGAATTACGATGCCGATGGTGAGTTTGAATAGTCTCGGTGACATATTGGGATGTATTGAACGCAATTAACTACAACTCGGAAGCATGTAACGTGATTTTCAAATGACAATTCCAACTGGGACTGGAACTGAAGCGCACGTGATGTGTGTTATTAGTGGGCGACTATCGGAACTTCCTTATTTGAATAGCAGGGAAGAGGGTGGATTTACTTTGAGCCCTGGGGTCAGAAATTCACTCGAGCTTTGTAAGAAAACATAAAATAAAAGCAGCCCGCGTAGCTATAAGTTGGATCCAGTAGTTTTAAATCATGCTATGCCTTGAGGGTTTGAATTTATGCAAAGAAGATACGCCTAACACAAATGAAAGCGATACAAGGAAGTTAAACTCACATCATCAATGCCTGTAAGCCAAGCATCGAGATCATGTGACTTGTGTGACTTGTGATCATTAGATCATGTTATAACTATAGTTTGCTGACAATGAACTCCAGAAATAAGGTGTCATTTTGGAATAGTGGGCCTGTCACGCTAAAATTGGTCCGGGCTAAAATCGGTCCGGGGGACCGATTTTGGCCGGCCAAAATCAGTCTTCCTTGGATAATATTGGTCCGGCCGGGACAAATTTTGGCTTAGCCTAAATCGTTCCACCTACACCTGCTACAGTGCTACACTATACGAGTTCAGTAGTCAACCAATTACAGCACAGTGAGTGCTTACTTATCGGTCAGCATTGATTTTTTTTTCAGGGAAAATCTTTTTGGTTGGAAAATTGAAAATGAGCGACCAATCAATATGAATGTGATGGCGTTCAATCTGAAGCCTATTTTGCATACATCACCTTAGTATTACCACAGATCCTATATACAACAATATGCAACTGTATACAATTTGTATATAGGATCTGTGGTAACAGAGATGTATTTCACAGAATCACAGCTGAATTTATTTAATAAGAAAGAAGCTCTTTGAGTTAGTATAAAAATTGGGGAACAGAAAAGGCCGACCTGCTAGCTTCAATTTTACTGTCCGCAGATATGTTCTTCTTTTTACTTTTACTTTAATCATATTCTTAACTTACATATGTTCATTCTATGTATAATTGCTGTTTACTTTTTGAATGAAATACAAAATACAATAGGCCTATATCTGTCTCTTATACACATCTAGATGTGTATAAGAGACAGAATCAATGGTTCGACGAAGCTTGCTTACGTATGAAAAATATGGCTCAGAATAAGTTGCGTAAATTATATAGGCCTATACATAGGCGTAGATCCCGGGGGATGGGGGATATATCCCCCCAATATTTGACAAGGGGGATGGTCCATTGTATCATCCCCCCCATATTTTGACTATGTATGGGATAAAATGGAGCTTTACACACTTCAAAAGACTGTCATAAAAATAATTTGCACTGTCTTATGCGTTTACAAAGATGAAAATTAGCATAATGTATTAATGTTGATAACAAATTATTTTATCTGGTACCAATCTAAGCTCTTTTTTCCTTAGATGTTAAATGTGCTTGCAAAGAGAGCCACATTTCACACTGAAGGGTGTGTACGACATCAGTAATGTTATGTCAATTCCAAGAATGTTTAAGGTTATATCGGTTGATGAGGAATTTATTGTTTAGGCCTATAATAGCAAATTACATCAATTTATATTGCAAAAACAAGGTTTCCAGCTTCAGAGGGGGGCACATCTCCTGTCCGCACAAGGGCACACATTGGCGCTAACACCAGGTGCGTAACAGGGGTTTCGGGTCAGAGTGGGTATATATATATTTTTTTTATTTCAACCATCTTTAAAGAGGGTAACTCTTCTAGTTTAGCCCAGTAGGTTAACAGATATTCAGGGGCCCTCTTTAATAAAATTAAAGAACAGTACAAACAACATCAATACAAAATAATAATAATAATAATAATAACAATAACAATAACAATAACAATAATAATAATAATAATAATAATAATAATAATAATAATAATAATAATAATAATAATAATAATAATAATAATAATAACATACAATCCTCATTTCCCGGTTAGTAATTTACCATACCCACCCCACCCCACTCCCCATATTGAAAACAATACGACATAGGGCTTATCTTATTTATAATATAGGCCACACGCGTGTGTTTGAAATTAAATATAAGCATTTTCATCATGGTTTTTATTTATTACAAACATATTCTTTCACCATCTATACACATTGAGGCCCTTCTTTTAGGTTAAAATGATCTATCTTAAATTTTTCTTTCTTGAGTTTGGGACTACTGTATTATGTGTTTAAATAACTTAAACGATAAAACTAAAAAAGCCCTAAAAAATACGCGCCAAGCGCGCAAAATATTTTTGTGTTTTTAATTCTAATTTCGTCGGAATTGATGAAAACTCCCTAAAATGTGCAATTTGTAGAGGAAATTGGCCTACCGTAACGAGAAATGCGCGCAAAGAATTTGAGAATTTTAGGCAATTTCAGAGGATGCATTTGTCAAGGGGGTGGAGAAAGATTTTCCAAAGATGGATATTTTCCCCTTGTCCCCCTGTGTTTTTAATTCTAATTTCTTTGGAATTGATCAAAACTCCCTAAAATGTGCAATTTTTAGAGGAAATTGGGCCATGTTAACAAGAAATGCGGGCAAAATTTGAGGTTTTTAAACACTTTCAGGGGATGAAAGGGCATTTATAAAGGGGTGGGGAAGATTTTTCAAAGATAGATATTTTCTCCTTGTCCCCCAGTGGTTACGCCATCTGGCAGCATAGATCAAAGGAGTTATGACAGTTTTTAAAGTGGAAAAGGGGTTGCATGGGTGTTGTGAGTCTTGTCATTATGATATCTTCCTTTTTATTCTTGTCTTTATTTTTCTCTTCTCTTTTTCTTTCTTTCAATTCTTTTCCTCTTCTTTCTCTTTCCCTCCCTCTCCCCTCTTTCTTCTCTCTTTTTACCCAGCCCGGTACGACGGCTTGGTTATATATATATATATATATATACCTATATAATATGTAGTTAGAGTTCACATTAATTCTTAATAAGTTTAGAGTACATCCCCTCAATTAAGCTAAATGTAGGAACCCCACCCACCCCCGCTTTTCACATCGGAAATGTGTAAAATAACTACGCATGATTTTGTACCCGGGCTAGAATTTGAGTAGAAAAATATTGTTTTCCTGATAACTCTGAAATCAATAGCGAGTGGTCTAAACTAGACTGGCTGTATGATTTTGTAGTCTGGGCTAAAATGAATCACGGGGAAGAGAGGAAGGCGATGGCCCAGGAGTACACGTGTTTTTTTTCTATGCCCAGACTCGATTTTGTTTAGATTTTCAAATGAATCAACCATTCAATGGGGGAATTGCTAAGCATCTTCTAGTGCTGCGTATTATTAATATGGTCTAATTGCAAAGCATAGCCATAGGTAGCAGAGTAGAGAAGTTGATATATTTTTATTTTTGGAGGCTTCAGTGTGAAATAGAGATTAAGTGTAAGATCTTGTAATTACGGAAGCAGATTATCTTGACAAGTCGACATAATATAAGTTGTATGTTGTCATGGCAAAATAGGTTATCTTGACAAGTCGACATAATAAAAATTGTATGTTGTCATGACGAGATAGGTTATCTTGACAAGTCGACATAATAAAAGTTGTATGTTGTCATGGTGAGATAAATTATCTTGACAAGTCGACATAGTAAAAATGTTATGTTGTCATGGCGAGATAGATTATCTTGACAAGTCGACATAATACATATTGTATGTTGTCATGGCGAGATAGATTATCTTGACAAGTCGACATAATGTAAGTTGTATGTTGTCATAGCAAGATAGGTTATCTTGACAAGTCGACATAATAAAAATTGTATGTTGTCATGGTGAGATAGATTATCTTGACAAGTCGACATAATATAAGTTGTATGTTGTCATGGTGAGATAGATTATCTTGACAAGTCGACATAGTAAAAAACAAAACATTTTTAGTATGTCGACTTGTCAAGATAATCTATCTCGCCATGTCGACATGATATGTATATTATGTCGACTTGACAACATAATTATCTTGACAAGTCGTCAAGTCGAATGGCACATAGGTGCTTCCGTATGTAATGTTTAATTGTGTTTTCTTATGATTCTAGCTAGAGCATAAGCAATAGTATATCACGGGTGATATTAGATTAACATGAGATTTGGTATGGCCTATCGTTAGGTTGGGTTAGGAACGAATTATAGTTATGGTAGAAATGCCGTACTTTCTACTTTCTGTTCTCAACTACTAATTACAGCACAGTGAGTGCTTACTAATCGGCCCGCATAGATTTTGAGGGAGAAAGCTTTTGGTGGGAAAATAGAAATTGATCGACCAATGAAAATGAAGGTGATGGGTTAAGTCCAATCTTGAGCCTATTTTGCATACATCGCCGTATATAAATAGGCTACAGCAGCTGTATGCGAAAGAATTCATTTGATAGCAGAGGCTCGTTTTGGTTAGTACAGTATAAGAATTAAAAGAAAGGTTGTGCTTATTTTTTTCGTTTCAGGGTGCATGTACACCTTACAAGGAAGCCTAATTATTCGACATTTTAATAAACAGTGAGTGCTTACTAATCAGCCCGCATAGATTTTGAGGGAGAAAGCTTTTGGTGGGAAAATAGAAATTGATCGACCAATGAAAATGAAGGTGATGGGTTAAGTGCAATCTTGAGCCTATTTTGCATACATCGCCGTATATAAATAGCCTAATTATTTGACATTTTAATAAGTCGATAACCATTAATTACAGCTGCTGAAAATAAGAAAAGAATCATGATCCAACAGCAGGGAATATCGTTTATACAGTATATTATTGAACACACGTTCACCCACCCCCTCTTTCTACCAAATATAAAAGAGGCGCGGATTTAGAAGGGGATATGGTGGTTGGAAAAAAAGGAAAAATAAAAGAAAAAGAAATAATTTTTCGCCTTATACGCCTCAGAGGTTATTTTCGGTCGTCTAGAGAGTAAAGTACTGGAAAACAATGATGTGGGAAACAATAGCTGGATATATGGACATACTATATAT